AACTATCTGACACCAACAGATGGTGTGCAAATCTCTAGTCAGTAAGTCTGCTTGGTCAGTCTTATCTCTGTACCTCAACACTTAACGTCTGGGGGAAAGTTTTAGTGTGTGATATCGCAAACATCCCAGGAGAATTAAATGCTTGATCATTTCGCCTACTTAAAATAAAGAATGTATCCAAATCCCTATTTTCCTGTATACTTCAAAATACACACAAATAAAAGTAGGTTGAGGAAAGACATTCTGAAGTCACCGCGCGTATTGTCACAATGCCATTTAATTCTTCATCTCCCACTCTACCTACAACTTCGAAAAGACACCTGGCCTCAAAAGTAGAGTGTGCAGAGCAAGCTATGGGGAACCATGAAGGACCTGCAGCTTACATGCGAGTTCATAGAGGCAACCCACTTGATGGTCTGATCTGAGCATACAAAACTGAACGTTAAGAATAAGAAGAAGAAAAAGAAAAAGAAGAATTCATCTTCTCCTTTTTATATACAGATTATTGGAGCATAAGCTCTCAACCTACTCATGCTATCTTCTGCCTAAATTATTTAGCTGTTCCTAATTCTCTTCTCACCGTGTTTCAAGTCATCTTCTTTCTCTGACCTATTTGACCTACACAAAACAAGCTTGGCATACTCCACAGCTCAATTGTGGAACTGTCTTCCACAACAGAAAAAAATACCACTAGTCCCTAAACATACAATCGAAAACTGCTCAAATATTATCTGAGCATAGATTACGCACTTCCATAGAAGATTTCAAACAAAATATTTTAGAAATAATGCACATTTCCCCTAGATTTATCACAACCACTTCGGTTTATTGTAGTTAGAAAAATTTAGACATTCCAGTGCTTATACTTAAAATTTTGATGTGATTGATAATGTTTTTTACTTGATGTACGAATGAAATGATGTAAAAATGGTGGGAGACCTCAAAGGGCAGAATTTTAGAAGGGCCTGTGGGCCCAATTCTTAACTCTTCAAAAATAAAGTATGACTATTTGTTCGTTCGTTCGCTCGCTCTGTTCCCCAAAAGGTTCAAATTAAGGATATTATTTTCTCATTCAAACGTAGATCTAGAACATATGCCAGTTATGGAGAATATCATACATGAAAGCAGACCCCTGGAGATCGTCATCTTCAACACCCCCCCCCCCCCCCTAATTTCCCCCATGTGTGGGTTCCGAGGCTTCATTGTGGGGATGCAAAATAGACCCCACTGCCTCCCTAACAAGTATGTCGTGGGAGTAGACTAATTTGGGGATTCCTTCAAAGCCAGACTGCATCTGCCCAAAAGACAAGGAACCAACAGTCTGCATGCAGTTAGGTCAGATTTGTAAAATGGGTGCACTTGCAAAACTCAGGCCTTTGAACAAAGTCGAAGTCTAGAAATGAACAAACAACCTGGCTTTTCTGCCTGGGGTTTACAGCTGATATACGCAAACAAACAACAATCCGGACCGGTATGAGTAGGCTGTCATGTTTTGCCATCGCAGACCATCACCAGAATGTCAAACTTTTCATTAGGTTTCAAATCTTTTCATTTTACTGAAGGTAACATTTTTCAAATGGTTTAAAATCTTTTCATAATACTGAATGTAAAACTTTTCATTGGTTTCATATCTTTTCATAGTGTTTAATGAAAAACTTTTCCTTTAGGTTTCACATCTTTTTAAATTAGTGAATGTAAAACTTTTCATTTGGTTTCATATCTTTTCATATTACTAGTGTAACACTTTTCATCGGGTTTCATATCTTTTCATATTTCTGAATATAAAACTTTAAATTTGCTTTCATATATTTTCATATTGCTGAATGTAAGTTTATTCCTTTGGTTTTCTATATTTGTATATTACTAAATGTAAAACTGTTTAGTAAAACCACAAACAGCCATCAAATGCTGGGATTGGTCTAATACGTCATGTAAAAGTAAAAAATAACTTATGGAAAAGATCTGTAGCTAATTTCTTTTCTTCTCCCCCCACACCCACCTTATTGCTCACTGAATCAAAACAGTGTTCAAGCCATAAAGTGTGGTAGCATTTGTAGCTATCAAGGTAAGCAGCAGAAGACAAGTTTTCCTAATAAGTCAAGCAAGAGCAGTCAACTCTGAATAAAACACCAGTGGAGTATCAACTTACGACTCCCTTATCTTTTCCAGCAAAGTCAAAGCTTTCACAAGATCTTCTTTCAGTGCTATTTCATTTGCATCCTGCCTCATTCTGTCCAGATCACTGTCCAATTGTGCCTCCAGCTCCTACAGTGGGACAATGAAAAAGGGTGCTTTATTAATATCCTACCCCAAACAAGGGAAATCCACAGGTCACGGGACAGTCTAATATTTCAGGGAGTGGTAGATAGGCTGCATGCAGTCATGGGACCTAGTCTGCATGCAGTTGTGGGACCTAGGCTGCACTCTCTCGTTGGACGTAGGTGGGTTGGGGTTAGGGCTAGTTGTAGATGTTTTAGGATCATTAGAAGCATCAGAAAGCCAGGAAACCCAGTCTAACCACCCTCTAATATGTTGGACTTTCCTGTGTCGTCATCTGGGGGTAGGATATTAATAAAGTACCCAAAAAAAGTGTTACTGAACATAACATATTGTGGACACACCCTCCTAACTGTTATTTGGTGGCTAAATCAAAGACATCAATTAATTAGGCTAATTATAAAAGCTATTACTCGACCTCATAATCACACGTTTTGTTACCCCATGAAATAATCATTCAACTGTTTCCTCACCAGATAATCCTACATCCTGTTACTTCAGAAAATTATCTCTTTTTCCCTTTCTTAAGAAATGTTTCCCATACCCTTTAACTCCATCAGATAATCCCACATCTTGTTAATTCACAAGGTACTTGATACTATACCAGAACAAACCATATTATGTTACCTCTTCAGATAATCCCACAATCGGTTACTTTACCAGATAGTATTATACCCTGTTATTTCATGAGATAATCCCACATCTAATTACTTTACCAGATAATCCCAAATTCTCTTACTTTACCAGATTATCCCAAATCCTAACAGGCAGACAGATTGGCTGATCTTCCCCATTTGGTGGTGAATTGATACATGACAAGGCAGATTTGGTCAAGGCCCTTTGGGAACAAGCAACGGAATTAGTAGAGAAAGAAGATTATTATGGCCTGGAGAGAATGAAGCACCTGGGTGTGACCAGAGGGTCTGGCCGGCTCACTACACTCAAAGGAAAGGCTATACAGACATATAACCAGATTGTGACGGGCACCATCAGTATTGGAACTCTACGCTGGCTGCTGAAAATGAGGATGGAGCATGCATGGGAATGCCCTGAGTGCTGTGATGTCAATTCTTGACTCAACTCAACTCTCACATACTTTTATTTCGACAGATCATCCCACATTCAGTTCATATACTTGATAATTCCACATCTGGTTACTGCAACAGATAATCCCACATTGAATTACTTTACCAGATAATTCCATATCTAGCTTTTTCATAAGATAATCCCACATCCGGCTTTCTTTATCAAATAATTCAATGTTTGGCTACTTTACCAGATAATCCAACATCTGGTTACTTTCCTAGATAAACCACTATTACTTCACCATATCAGATACTTCCTAAACTAATTACACAGGCTGTTATTTCATCAAATAATCTCACATACATTTACTTCACCAGCTAATCCTTCATTCTGTTACTTTCCCAAAAATACCACATATTTTTATTTTCATTTTCCGGATAATTCCACATCCTGTTAATTTATCAGAAATTTCCATAACTTGTTACTTCAGAAAATAATCCCACATGCTGTTATTTCAGAAAATAATCCTACATACTCTAATTTTTACCAGATAATCCTGCATTCTGTTTCTTTATCAGATAATCTCAGACCAGGCTACCTAATCACATAATCCCACACACTGTTTCTAAACCAGATAATTTACTAGATAATTCCATTTTCTTCTTCTTCTTTTTCTTTGTCTTCTTCATCTTCTTCTTCTTCTTCTGCTGTGTTCATTGAAGACGTAAATGACTTTTGCTCTTTTATAGCAAGCTGCGATATTTGCCTTGTTCTTCTCAGATCCCACAACTCTCAGGTTTTCTCAACCTGTGTCCTATCCCACATCAGCATCCTTTCTTCACCTCTTGGTCTACTGGAACTTGTTTAGTTCTCTCCCAAAGCTCTACATTAGTCATTCTATCATACCCTTTAATTCCCTCTATTCTGTGCAGGCACCAGTAGTAAGTGACCCACGAATAACTGACAGTTTTATTGTATTATTGATTCTTTGTTCTGGGAGTTCAGGCTACTGGCCCATGATGGTCCCCATTTTTAAAAATGTTGGCATCTGAGTAAACTTTGAACAGCCCCGACTAAGATAGTCAAGGATAGGTAATGAATAGAATGCAGGTCACATAAGGAACACAATGAACTAGCTTACTTGGCGTGTCTGATCATGGTCCTTTTTAGTCCTGGCTACCTGCTCATTCAGCTCTTTCTCATGCTTTGCCAGGTTGTTCTCATGTACCTCCCACAGGTGAGCTGCCCCTTTGGCAAATTTGTACAGTGCGGTTATCTCCTCTTTTATTTTTTCTACATTTTGCTCTGTCATTTTCTAGGAAAAGAAAATATTTTTATTTAAAAGAAAAAGAAAGCAAAAGACTTTCCTTGTCTTGCGGTGCATTACACCTGTGATGTTTCATATTTTTATTACCTGTCAGTACTTGAGTAATGGGTGCCACAGTGGTGCAGAGGCTAGATGCTCACCTCAGGCCTGAAAGTTGTAGGTTCAAATCCATATCGAGTTGAAACTTTTTTTAAAAATAACCTTGGCTCCCAGGTTGATTAATTATAAAGTGTGTGCCAGGTAAAGTCCTGGGAATTAAAGACAGCTGGCGTGATGTTGACAACATCATCGACAGAGTGTCAACTGATCTATTAAATATAGGTCTAGCCCTAAAGAGCCGCTTTGGTGCAGCAGCTAGATGCTCTCCTATGGATTCAAAGGTCGTAGATTCAGGTCCTGACAGAACCAGTCTGCAAAATGAAAAATAAAAAAAAAAAAAAAAAAAAAAAAAAAAAAAAAAAAAATATGACCATGGCTACCAGGTCAGCCCAGCCTTTAATGGGTACCCGGTAAAGTCTTGGGAAGTAAAGCTGGCTGGCATGATGTTAAGTACATCACCCATCGAGTGCTAACTGGTCTATAAAAATATAGGAATAGTCCTATATAACGAATATGACTTAAGGCATTGAAAAAGGGTCCTTTTTCTTCACTTTTACCACATGCCTAATAGAGACCCTATGTAGAACCATCATCAGGGAAGACTCAACCATGGGCCTAATAAACATGCTAGACCTAAAGCAGGTGGCAACGAACTGCCAGATATGGAGAACCATGACCTCTGCCCTATGCGCCATGTAGGCTCAAGAGAAGAGACTAACAAAGACTTACTATATGTCTAATGGTGTGGGAAGAGGCTCCATTACTTACTACTTTACTTTGCCTTTACTATAGGCCTAATGGTATGGGAAGAGGCTCCGTTACTTACTCCTTTACTTTGCCTTTACTATAGGCCTAAAGGTGTGGGAAAAGGCTCAGTTACTTACTCCTTTACTTTGCCTTTACTATAGGCCCCTTGGTATGGGAAGAGGCTCCGTTACTTACTCTTTACTTTGCCTTTACTATAGGCCTAATGGTGTGGGAAGAGGCTCAGTAACTTACTCCTTTACTTTGCCTCTACTATATGTCTAATGGTGTGGGAAGAGGCTCCGTTACTTACTCTTTACTTTGCCTTTACTATAGGCCTAATGGTGTGGGAAGAGGCTCAGTAACATACTCCTTTACTTTACCTTTACTATAGACCTAATGGTGTGGGAAGAGGCTCAGTTACTTACTCCTTTACTTTGCCTTTACTATATGTCTAATGGTGTGGGAAGAGGCTCCGTTACTTACTCTTTTACTTTGCCTTTACTATAGGCCTAATGGCGTGGGAAGAGGCTCCGTTACTTACTCCTTTACTTCACCTTCACTATAGACCTAATGGCGTGGGAAGAGGCTCAGTTACTTAATCCTTTACTATACTTTTACTATAGACCTAATGGTGTGGGAAGAGGTTCCATTACTTACTCCTTTTCTTTACCTTTACTATAGACCTAATGGCGTGGGAAGAGGCTCAGTTACTTACTCCTTTACTTTACCTTTACTATAGGCCTAATGGTGTGGGAAGATGTTCCGTTACTTAATCCTTTACTATACCTTTACTATAGACCTAATGGTGTGGGAAGAGGTTTCGTTACTTAATCCTTTACTTTGCCTTTACTATATGTCTAATGGTGTGGGAAGAGGCTCCGTTACTTAATCCTTTACTATACTTTTACTATAGACCTAATGGTGTGGGAAGAGGTTCCATTACTTACTCCTTTACTTTACCTTTACTATAGACCTAATGGCGTGGGAAAGGCTCAGTTACTTACTCCTTTACTTTACCTTTACTATATACCTAATGGTGTGGGAAGAGGTTCAGTTATTTACTCCTTTACTTTACCTTTACTATAGGCCTATGGTGCGGGAAGAGGCTTCTTTACTTTACCTTTACTACAGGCCTAATGGCATGAAAAAGAGTCTTTTACCTTTTACTTTAAGTAAAAGTAAGTAAAGGACATTCTTCCATGCCTTCAGGTGTATTGGGCAAACAGGGCTAGAACTATATTTAAAGACGAATCAGCACTCAGTGTGTGTGATGCAGTCAACATTACACCAGCCGACTTTACTTCCCCTGGCTTTATCTAGTACCCATTTAAGGCTTGGTCGACCTGGGGTCAAGGTCATTATGGGGAAAAAAAGGGGGGGGGGGAATCCAGCTCTGTTAGAACCTGAATCCATGACCTTCCGATCCGCAGGCGAGTGTCTAGCCACTACACCCCAGTGGCTCCTACTTTGTACTTCACTGGAGTAAAAAGTTTCCTTTACTTTAACCACTTACTAGGGGGCGCTGCTGCGTGGTCTCGAGGCATAGTGTCCGCCTCGAGTGCTAGATATTCCGGATTCAATGATATATAATGAATATCCCCCATTATTATTCTCCTCCTCTTCCTGTTTCTTTTTCTTCTTCTTCTTCTTCTTCTTCTTCTTCTTCTTCTTCTTCTGCTACTTCTTCTTCTGCTTCTTCTTCTTCTTCTTCAGCTATTTTGGCCAACGCATCCATCTTCTGCAGCAACAAATTGCTCGGGTTAGCCTTCCCAGACCCCACATCTCTTAAGTTTTCTCTACCTGTGTCTTGGTAATAACACGTGACTTGGACTTCTAGTAATTCCCCCTGGTCTCTGGGTGGTGAGATCGGACACCCGTGTGCATTGTTGCACACACAAAAAATCCCTTGGTAGTTGGAAATTGAAAAGAGTAGCTTAACAGTGCTGCCTGGGCTAAATTTTGAGTTAGAAAGAAAATCTACCAAAAATTTTTCAGTATTCTTGCCGGTGCTTCAGAGCCTGTGCACTGTGCTGAGCTTCTTCAGACTAAAACTTGAGCTAGAAGAAGAACGGAGCACTTATGGGTTACTACCTGTGTGCCATGATGTGGATCCATTGTTCAAACCTCAAACCCCAAACTCACTTACTATAATGAGAGAATCTACTTTAAAACAGTCACTGTTTGGGTCTGAATAACACTGGATGATAAGAGGCTAAGTTTAAATTTGAGGAAATAATGAAGGACATAGAGAGCCGCATATGATCGTGCAGCAAGAGCAGACCTCATATTGGTCAAGACCGATCTACAGGGTCATTCTTAAAAATAGGATTGACTTTTGCCTGAGGGGCATGGAACTATCAGTCTGCACACAAATATGCCAGATCTGTAAAACAGATGTGCATGCAACACTCAATTCATGGATGAGGCCTAAATCCAGAAGTGGTTGATTAACCAGGATTTTCTGTTGGGAGTTTACAGCTGGTGAACACATAGAAGAATAGAAGTGTATAAGGAGTCAATATAGTGATCAGTGATTAGTAAGCATATTTATCACAGCATTCCGGACAGACCCATAGGATGAGTCAATTTAATTAAACTGTAATAGATAATTAAACTGTAATAGATAACAGAAACAGTAGCAGATTTTATTTGGACAATGAAAATAAGTGAGTTGCTTGGAACCAAGAGTTTAAAAATGTCGCTTTGAAGCAAAATAATTGTCGCTAATGCATGTTAAAGAATTGATAGTGATTGTTGTGTACTTCAAGGTGAAATAAAAAAAAAATGCTGTAGATCAAGAAGAAAAACACTGACAAAAACATTTTTAACTCTTTGAGTCCCAGGGGGTTAAGCATCACAGGCCCAGGGGGTAGTGAAGAAAGTAATAAAATCGGCGCATCATGCGTTCATTGGGCTTATGAACCTATGAACGTATCATGCGTTCAATGGGACTTAAAGAGTTAACTCTTTCAGTCCCAGGGGGTTTAGCATCAGAGAATCAAGGAGCGGTAATGAAAGACGTATAATCAGTGCATCTTGCATTTACTGGGCTTCTTTACTTTAGCCCATAGTAAAAGTTAGAGTGGTTTAGAAGAAATAACAAAAGGTATTGTACCGTCACTGCATCTGGTGAAGAGGTATCTGATGGCATGATACTTCATGAAGAAGATGTAGGAGTGGGCCAACATTAACACGAAGACAGAAACAGGACATTAAAGAAGCCAGTTTTCTCAGCCAGATCTTCACATCTTGTGGAGTGTCAATTTTTTTTTTTTTTTTTTTGATTCACAGAAGTTGGAGAATTTTTCTCTCACATACAATTTTTTTTTTTTTTTTTTTGTTAGCTTTTTTTTCTTCACTCCCTCTCAAAAAAAGAAGGTAGGTGGCATATTTTGTTATGGTTTGCAGTTAGTTTGTGACAGCTGCCCCTTTCAACTTTACACATCTGATGTTAGCAAACTCTTAGCTAGTCGACTTGCTTGTTAAGTGGTTGTGGAAAAATTATTTGGAAGTCCCTCTTGCTGTACCCCACCAGGACATCACACAAGCGATAAACACCTGGTGACACAAAGTGCCAAGATGTGATGAGGATCACCCGTGGAGAGGTCCCAGAAACTCTTTTCAGCTGTTAGGCCATAATTATGGCCCGGCTATTTTCAGGGCCTCCGGCAAAAGCCAGGGTGGGGCTTCAAATAACAAAAAATTGCATTCATATGGGGATGACAAATATTTGGAAACGCTAGAGATGTGGTTTTATAGAGGAATGATGAGAATACCCTGGGCAGATAACAAGAGTAATCAAGATCTATTGACAGAAACTAACTCACAAAGAGAACTGATTGCCCATATCAGAAAGAGACAATCTACATTCTTTGGTCATGTGATTAGAATGAAGAAACTGAAGTACATTATGATGGTGGGAAAGTTGGAGGGGAAGAGAGGCAGAGGGAGACTGAGAGAGAAGATGCTGGACAGTCTGACATCATGAGATGGAGGATCATCTGTGTTAGAACTGACTGAAAGTAGAAGAGACATAAATTTGTGGATTGACATGACTACCAACACCAGAAAACTAACAAGAAATTTTCCAGGCAGTTTAAAACAAAGCTAATACATACAGGTCTCTCTGTCTGTATTTG